AGATGGATGCCTGAATTTGACTTTTGATATTGAATTTGTGGCAGCTCTACTCTCGATGTGGAGTCCTAATAAATTTTAATTGATCCGAAATCATTGCTTTTGTTTCTTCAAACTGGTCTAGGCAGTTTTCGTACTTGGCGTAAGCCGAGGATTTAAAATTTTCAGTGAGTGCAAGTGAAAACATTATTCATGGTGTGAGAGAACAGTGTGAAAAAAAGTTATAATACGCAGGTATTTTACCGACTGGTAATATAATACATTCGGATATAAGTATATATGTAATTATATAAATGAATGTTTAGTTATAAGATATATTGGTAAATGCAATTTGCATATTGTTTGCTAATTGAATGTATATATGTATATGTATGTTTGTATAATATTTTGTCTTTTTGCTGTAGGTTCTAGCTTTAGTTGTCATTGTGCCTTGTATATATATCCACAAATGTAAGCGCAGATGTCAAGGCAAGCAATAATTTGGTAATATAATATATATACAAGTATATACATATATATGTAAATATAAGAAGACATATGTGTATGTATATAAGTATATTCATCCGATTTTCTTTTATATATCGGTTTTTTGGAATTTTCTGTTAACGTTTGGAAAAATATAAGTATATTTTACTTAAATTTTTAGTTCCTTTGTTTTCATATTGAGGGCGCTTAAAGATCTGGACATCTCTGAACCTCTCCGGAAATTAATTGAACAGATCCTCTTGGGCAGGTCAATTATTTCAACGCTGGAGCTTCAACGATGCGTAGATCTGTCCGAAGGGGTACACCCCGGAGGCGTGTTATCCCCACATCTCTGGATCCTGACAATGAACAAATTGCTTGTGGATCTAGAAAAGAGGGTATATGTTATGGCCTACGCTGATGATGTGGCAGTTTCAATGCAATGCAACAGACAATATTAAACGATATTAATCGATGGGCCGTATCATGCGGACTGAATTTAAATGCTAGCAAGACAGAAATAGTATTGTAGAAATCACGCCGCCATCTTTAAATGGCACCAGGCTATACGATAGAGAGATAAAGCAAGCTACTTGGGACTAATTTTGACAGGAAGGCTTTCTTGGAAACAAAACTTGGAGCAAGGGTAAAGAAAGCAGCTACAGCGCTTACACGTGTAAAAGTATGGTAAGGCCCAGATGGGGACTAACGCTCGGTAGCCTACTGATCTAACAGCAAGGCGATCATGACTTACGGTATATTAGTATGGTGGCCTATTACAGGAAAGAAATATGCGATTAGAAGCATGAAAGTATACAAAGGCAGCCAGTATTTGCATCAGTGGAGCTCTCAGAACTACGCCAAGCAGGCACTCAACGTAATTTTACACTTACTGCCAACAGATCTGTTTTGCAGGCAAATGGCAGCGAAGTCAGCTCTGAAACTGAGGGAATCCTCCCTACTAGTCGCTAGTAACAAGGGACATTCTATGATACTTATGAAGTTCCCGTTTCTTCCCATAATCACAGATTTTCGCAATCCTACAGAGCTGAATCTAAATCCGGTCCCCAAGATTGCCTTCCTCGCCAGAGAGAGTGGGAAAGGGGCGAGTGGGCAAGGAACAGGATAATCTTCTATACGGATGGTTCCAAACTAGATAACCGAGTAGGCGGCGGGTCTTCTCACTAAACTAGATACCAAAATCGCCTTCCGGTTATCAAACCACTGCAGTGTCTCCCAATCGAAGGTCACCGCAATTAAAGAAAGCCCTCTTGTATTGACAAGGAGTGTGCTCACAACAAGGAAAATATCTATATAATACAGACAGCCAGGCTGCTTTGAAATCTCTGAGTCCCATAGGATTTCGTCGAAGACACTGAAATTATTGCTATGATTTTCTAGCGGATTTGACATCCTATTTCACGGTAAACCTGCAATGGTTCCCGCGGACATAGAGACATCACCGGGAGGTGAACCAGCCAGAACAGGCACCACCCTACAACTAGATCCTGGTAAGGAAGACATATATTATGCTCTGGCTACTTGTAGATACTTAATCGACAAACATGTCATTATCATAGCCGAGCGTCAGTAGAATCAGTCCCTGACTTGCTCAACTAGCAGGCAAACGTGGCATGAATGGAATATGAGCCGCACATGCCGACTGGTTAAAATTCAAGCGGAATGATATAAGAACTCTAATAGGAGTACTAACAGGCCACTGTCTAATAGGCAGACATGCAAGTAGACTTGGTACGCCATATAACGGACTATTGTAGAAGCTGTCAGGAAATAGAAAGGAGGACACTATTAAACATCTTCTATGCGACTGCGCAGCACATATAGGAAAATAATCGCAAGCCATCGTTCGTGGTTTCTTGACGACGTCTCGGAGGTTTAAACGGATAAAACTTGTCTCACTGATGAAGTTCATCAGAAGTACGGGGTGGTTCAGAGAAGAGCAATATAGTGAGGATACCACAGTCCCGTGGTATCACAATGGGCTCCTAAAGGCCTAGGTGCGTCGAAAGACAGCCACTTTACCTACTACCTACCTAGTGGTAGTCGTACGACGTACCGACCATTATCTGACTAGTAGTTGTGGCTTTGTAAAATCTTCACAATACTGATCTTCAGAGTTGTGATTAATATGAGGGGGAGCTCTTCAACTCCCAAATTAGAGATTTTCTCAACTTGAGTGGTCATGGACCACTTAGGTTCCAACATAAAATAGTATTTTGTGCCAATAGTGTGTTTTAAATTGTCTCAATGTCTTCGAGTATTATCTGTGGTATGAGATCGCTGCCTAATAGAAGATCTATTTGAGCGGGAGTGTTGCAGTTGAGATCTGCTAGCTTTACGTGAAACCCTTTGCCAAGCTTGCTATTTATGTGATAGCTTGAAGCATGCTTGTTGGTTGCGTTATCCGCTTTGGGGAAGTTAGGGTAATGGGGCAGATTTTGTTTGAGTTTAAACTACTCTTCCGCCCATTCCCGTGATTTCAAAATTGTCTAGTTTTGTGCAGTTGTAGCCTATTTGTGCCCTAGACGCTATAAATGATCGTTGTTATCCTTAAGGCCCTAAGATTAAATACTTCTTCTCGGTGTTCGATGGAGACGACTGCTGTGGGTAGTAGTACCCTACTTTGGTTTCGATGTGTACCGTTTGCGTTTTTAATGCCTTTGAGCAGCATGGTGCTTCTTGGCGATTTCAGATTTGCTGTTGCAATTAATCCCGCAGCCCTTTTAACATTATTTTGTGATGAGCTGGAAAAATATGTGATATGTAACATTGAATGATGTCTTGTGGCAATATACGCAATTGAATTTGCTTTCACACTTTTGGAGTATGCGCACGTGACAAACAGTTTGTGCGTAGTTTGTTTTGTTCCCACAAATTGTTCCTATCGACAAAATTTAATTGTTTTGAATTTCTTCGCAAAATTTGAGCTTATGCCCTCCTGTACGCATGACGTTTGTTATTGTTCGGATGTGAACGATTGGTTTTTAAAAACGCTTCTATTTAAATTGTTATTGCTTCTGGTTTCGGTATATGAAGCTTCTATTGAGGTCATTTTGAACGATTAGTTCTAACTAGTTTTTGTCTACCCTTTATGCTATTTCGTATTGGGTAGTTAGAAATTCTTTTCATTTGCTGCCACGTTGGGGATTTTTTCCGAGATGAGAGCGATTGCTCCCACAAAAGTAACGATTTTTCTGGTAATGCTTGCGGGTGCAATATAATATTTACGAATGGGTCCCAGCATCTGTGGAATATTTGTGTCGATAAAACGACAAACAATTAGAAACATGATTGTAGTCTAATAAATTCTTCACTTGTTTCTTTCTGAATTTTTGGCAAGTTCATTAGTATCGTTACTTGCTTATCGACCAATATTCTTTCATTTTCGTATCTTTCTTTAGAACTTCCCAAGCCATATTGAAATTATCGTCATTTAGTGCGAACTGTTTGACTATGACGCCTGCTTGACCTTCTGTTTTGTATCGGAGTAATACAATTTTTGTGCATTTCTGGAATTTTGGGTGGTTTATGTAAACGGTTGTAAACACGTCCCGGAAGGACGGCCATTGTTTTATAACCACCATAAAAGATTTCTATGTCACATGCTGGGACATTGAGATGGATGCCTGAATTTGACTTCTTGATATTGAATTTGTGGCAGCTCTACTCTCGATGTGGAGTCCTAATAAATTTAATTGATCCGAAATCATTGCTTTGTTTCTTCAAACTGGTCTAGTGAGTTTTCGTACTTGGCGTAAGCCGAGGATTTAAAATTTCAGTTGAGTGCAAGGAAAACATTATCATGGCTGTGAGAGAACAGTGTGAAAAAAGTTATAATACGCAGGTATTTTACCGACTGGTAATATAATACATTCGGATATAAGATATATGTAATTATATAAATGAATGTTTAGTTATAAGATTATTGGTAAATGCAATTTGCATATTGTTGCTTAATTGAATGTATATATGTATATAAGATAGAAGACTGAAGAACGTTTCTGTACCCAGCAACATGTCGATTTTCTTTGGTATATAAAATTCATCATCGGCGAGCGCTATATTGTGTGGAATATTCAATGTTGAAATATTGATTTCAGGGTCTAGTTGATAAGCAATGTGCGATGTAATACAAAAAGTCAATGGAAGGTCGAAGCCAGTGAGTAGTTGAGGTTTTGAATTTAATATTCGTTGACGATGAACCAAAGCATCGGTAAACGATGAACCAAAGAATCTGTATGTTTTGCTTATTTCTTGGCAGAAGCAACTTTTGCGAAAAATCATCTGTGATAAAATTTACCTGTGAACAGGAATCTAGCAGTGCTGTACCCAATCTGTAGCTCCCCGATGCATCACGAACGAAAGTGTTTGCTGTTGCAAGGATGACGTTATTCAGCGATGAATTATTCTTTTGTGTATGCGTGACTGCCTCTTGTTTTGGAAATACATGAGTAGGTGTTTGTTGGCCTGAAGTAGAACCGCGGTGGAGTAAACTGTGGTGTTGCCGTGCACAAACCTTGCACCTGTGTGATGATGGACAATTGGCTACACGATGTCCCTTTGATAAGCAATTGATACAAAGTCCTATTTTCTTTGCATGATCGAAACGTTGAATTAAGTTTAGTGACTTAAAGCGATCGCAATCAAATACCTGATGGCTGTTACTGCAACAGAAAGCACAAGTTATGTTGGAGCAGGAAAATGTCCGTGGTTGATTCCTTGATTTCAAAGTGGAGTATTTATTAACACCTTGAGTTGACGAAGTACTAACATGCGTGTTGTTCAGTCAGTACAGAGACAGTTTCGCAATTGGTTGAATTTTTCAATATTAGTTAAATTGAACTCACGCTCAATTATTTGCTTGAACGAGGTGATAAAATTTTGATAATTTGAATAGTTGGTATCAAATGTAGGAAGCTTAAGTGGTGGAAGTTTTGAACTTGATTGTACCACGCAAGTTTTGTCCGAAAATGAAACATTGTTATCTTATATGACAGACTCTCCAAACTTTACACTGAGAGCGAGCTTTTAAGCGACTCTCAAGAAGACGCAGAGAAAACACTAACTAATGCGTCTTCTCCAAATTAATCTACACCACAGCAAACTAGCGTCTCTAGCCCTAGTTAACCGCATGGCAGAAGAACGGCCTGACTTCGTCCTCATTCAGGAGCCATGGGTAAATGTAGTAACGACACTACAGTAGTAAGCTGGGAGACGGGCGGAAAGAAATACCGGCTGGCATCATGCTACATGCCGTATGACGAGGTAGCAGTACCATCGCAGCTGATGAAAGAGCTAGTACGAGACACCGAAGCATCCAAGTGCTTGATTATACTTGGGTGCGACTCCAACGCGAACCACACACTATGGGGCAGCACGGGCATCAAAGAAAGGGGTGAGTTGCTTTTTAATTATTTAATAGGAAGTAAGCTTTTGTTATGCAGCAAAGGTAATATGCCAACATTTATAACCAGAAACCGACAGAAAGTATTAGATATTACACTTGTATCGAAAGAACTGGTGGATAAAATAACACATTGGAGGGTACTGAGGGAACATTCCTTCTCAGATCACCGCTACATTGAGTGTATAATTGAAGAGAATGTAGTTAGGGAAGAGAAATTTTAGGAATCATAGGAAAACTGGCAGCTGCACCTGCAGGAGCTAAAAAAAATAGGATCTAGATACCCTCGTTAAACAGTTCTCAGATTCTTGTCAACAAGCACTAGAGGTGGCTGGCAGATGCATCTGCAGGACCTAAAAAAGCGTATTCCTATGATTCCACCATTTCAACCAGAGAAATGGTAGAGGTGGCTTGTTCATTAACCAACAGTAGGGGAAGAATTAGGCCCCCTTGGTGGTCTCCCATACTTAAGAAGATGCAAAAAGATTGCAGGAAGCAATTCAATTTTGCCAAATTATCCCACAAAGAAGAAGAGTAGGATAACTATTATAACATCCTACGGTCATATAAAAAGGAGGTAAGGAAGGCAAAAAGAAATTCGTGGAAATCTTTTTGAAATGACATCCAGAATACGGCAGAAGCGTCTCGACTTAGAAAAATAATGACACAGTCGAAACAAAGCATCGGATACCTTCAGAAGCCAGACCACAGCTGGACGGTATCCAGTGAAAAGACTCTAGGCCTACTAATGGATACTCACTTCCCAGATAGTTCCGAGAGGTATATACCAAAGGTTGGCAAAAGCTCACACATTAATCCAAATGATTTTAGACCAATCAGTCTTTCATTTCTTTTAAAAACGCTGGAGAGACTAATAGAAATACATATAAGGAGCAAACTAAACCCAGGAAAAATGGCAGTTTCGCAGCATGCGTATTCTGAGGGTAAATCCACAGAAACGGCATTAAGCTCAGTAGTAGCAGAGATTGAAAAGTCTTTGGAGATAAAAGAATACACCCATTAGCCTTCCTAGACATAGAAGGTGCATTCAATAACATCCAGCCGAAGGCCATATTGAGGGCGCTTAAAGATCTGGACATCTCTGAACCTCTCCGGAAATTAATTGAACAGATCCTCTTGGGCAGGTCAATTATTTCAACGCTGGGAGCTTCAACGATGCGTAGATCTGTCCGAAGGGGTACACCCCAAGGAGGCGTGTTATCCCCACATCTCTGGATCCTGACAATGAACAAATTGCTTGTGGATCTAGAAAAGAGGGGGGTATATGTTATGGCCTACGCTGATGATGTGGCAGTTTCAATGCAATGCAACAGACAATATTAAACGATATTAATCGATGGGCCGTATCATGCGGACTGAATTTAAATGCTAGCAAGACAGAAATAGTATTGTAGAAATCACGCCGCCATCTTTAAATGGCACCAGGCTAACGATAGGAGATAAAGCAAGCTACTTGGGACTAATTTTTGACAGGAAGCTTTCTTGGAAACAAAACTTGGAAGCAAGGGTAAAGAAAGCAGCTACAGCGCTTTACACGTGTAAAAGTATGGTAGGGCCCAGATGGGGACTAACGCCTCGGGTAGCCTACTGACTCTACACAGCAAGGCCGATCATGACTTACGGTATATTAGTATGGTGGCCTATTACAGGAAAGAAATATGCGATTAGAAGCATGGAAAGTATACAAAGAGCAGCCAGTATTTGCATCAGTGGAGCTCTCAGAACTACGCCAAGCCAGGCACTCAACGTAATTTTACACTTACTGCCAACAGATCTGTTTTGCAGGCAAATGGCAGCGAAGTCAGCTCTGAAACTGAGGGAATCCTCCCTACTAGTCGCTAGTAACAAGGGACATTCTATGATACTTATGAAGTTCCCGTTTCTTCCCATAATCACAGATTTTCGCAATCCTACAGAGCTGAATCTAAATCCGGTCCCCAAGATTGCCTTCCTCGCCAGAGAGGAGTGGGAAAGGGGCGTAGTGGGCAAGGAAGCAGGGATAATCTTCTATACGGATGGTTCCAAACTAGATAACCGAGTAGGCGGCGGGGTCTTCTCACCTAAACTAGATACCAAAATCGCCTTCCGGTTATCAAACCACTGCAGTGTCTCCCAATCGAAGGTCACCGCAATTAAAGAAAGCCCTCTTGTATTGACAAGGAGTGTGCTCACAACAAGGAAAATATCTATATATACAGACAGCCAGGCTGCTTTGAAATCTCTGATGTCCCATAGGATTTCGTCGAAGACACTGAAATATTGCTATGATCTTCTAGCGGATTTGACATCCTATTTCACGGTAAACCTGCAATGGTTCCCGGGACATAGAGACATCACCGGGAGGTGAACCAGCCAGAACAGGCACCACCCTACAACTAGATCCTGGTAAGGAAGACATATATATGCCTCTGGCTACTTGTAGATACTTAATCGACAAACATGTCATTATCATAGCCGAGCGTCAGTAGAATCAGTCCCTGACTTGCTCAACTAGCAGGCAAACGTGGCATGAATGGAATATGAGCCGCACATGCCGACTGTTAAAATTCAAGCGGAATGATATAAGAACTCTAATAGGAGTACTAACAGGCCACTGTCTAATAGGCAGACATGCAAGTAGACTTGGTACGCCATATAACGACTATTGTAGAAGCTGTCAGGAAATAGAAAAGGAGGACACTATTAAACATCTTCTATGCGACTGCGCAGCACTATATAGGAAAATAATCGCAGCCATCGGTCGTGGGTTTCTTGACGACGTCTCGGAGGTTAAACGGATAAAACTTGTCTCACTGATGAAGTTCATCAGAAGTACGGGGTGGTTCAGAGAAGAGCCAATATAGTGAGGATACCACAGTCCCGGTGGTATCACAATGGGCCTCCTAAAGGCCTAGGTGCGTCGAAAGACAGCCACTTTACCTACCTACCTACCTAGTGGTAGTCGTACGACGTACCGACCATTATCTGATCTAGTAGTTGTGGCTTTGTAAAAATCTTCACAATACTGATCTTCAGGAGTTGTGATTAATATGAGGGGGAGCTCTTCNCAACATAAAATAGTATTTTGTGCCAATAGTGTGTTTTAAATTGTCTCAATGTCTTCGAGTATTATCTGTGGTATGAGATCGCTGCCTAATAGAAGATCTATTTGAGCGGGAGTGTTGCAGTTGAGATCTGCTAGCTTTACGTGAAACCCTTTGCCAATGCTTGCTATTTATGTGATAACTTGGAAGCATGCTTGTTGGTTGCGTTATCCGCTTTGGGGGAAGTTAGGGTAATGGGGCAGATTTTGTTTGAGTTTTAAACTACTCTTCCGCCCATTCCCGTGATTTCAAAATTGTCTAGTTTTGTGGCAGTTGTAGCCTATTTTGTGCCCTAGACGCTATAAATGATCGTTGTTATCCTTAAGGCCCTAAGATTAAATACTTCTTCTCGGTGTTCGATGGAGACGACTGCTGTGGGTAGTAGTACCCTACTTTGGTTTTCGATGTGTACCGTTTGCGTTTTTAATGCCTTTGAGCAGCATGGTGCTTCTTGGCGATTTCAGGATTTGCTGTTGCAATTAATCCCGCAGCCCTTTTAACATTATTTTGTGATGAGCTGGAAAAATATGTGATATGTAACATTGAATGATGTCTTTTGTGGCAATATACGCAATTGAATTTGCTTTCACACTCTTTTGGAGTATGCGCACGTGACAAACAGTTTGTGCGTAGTTTGTTTTGTTCCCACAAAATTGTTCCTATCGACAAAATTTAATTCTTTGAATTTCTCGCAAAATTTGAGCTTATGCCCTCCTGTACGCATGACGTTTGTTTATATTGTTCGGATGTGAACGATTGGTTTTTAAAAACGCTTCTATTTAAATTGTTATTGCTTCTGGTTTCGGGTATATTGAAGCTTCTATTGAGGTCATTTTGAACGATTTAGTTCTAACTAGTTTTTTGTCTACCCTTTATGCTATTTCGTATTGGGTAGTTAGAAATTCTTTCATTTGCTGCCACGTTGGGGATTTTTTCCGAGATGAGAGCGATTGCTCCCACAAAAGTAACGATTTTTCTGGTAATGCTGCGGTGCATATATAATATTTACCAGAATGGGGTCCCAGCTATCTGTGGAAATATTTTGTGTCGATAAAACCGACAAACAATTAGAAACATGATTGTAGTCTAATAAATTCTTCACTTGTTTCTTTCTGAATTTTTGGCAAGTTCATTAGTATCGTTACTTGCTTATCGACCAATATTCTTTCATTTTCGTATCTTTCTTTTAGAACTTCCCAAGCCATATTGAAATTATCGTCATTTAGTGCGAACTGTTTGACTATGACGCCTGCTTGACCTTCTGTTTTGTATCGGAGGTAATACAATTTTTGTGCATTTCTGAATTTTGGGTGGTTTATGTAAACGGCTGTAAACACGTCCCGGAAGGACGGCCATTGTTTATAACCACCATAAAAGATTTCTATGTCACATGCTGGGACATTGAGATGGATGCCTGAATTTGACTCTTGATATTGAATTTGTGGCAGCTCTACTCTCGATGTGGAGTCCTAATAAATTTTAATTGATCCGAAATCATTGCTTTTGTTTCTTCAAACTGGTCTAGGCAGTTTTCGTACTTGGCGTAAGCCGAGGATTTAAAATTTTCAGTGAGTGCAAGTGAAAACATTATTCATGGTGTGAGAGAACAGTGTGAAAAAAAGTTATAATACGCAGGTATTTTACCGACTGGTAATATAATACATTCGGATATAAGTATATATGTAATTATATAAATGAATGTTTAGTTATAAGATATATTGGTAAATGCAATTTGCATATTGTTTGCTAATTGAATGTATATATGTATATGTATGTTTGTATAATATTTTGTCTTTTTGCTGTAGGTTCTAGCTTTAGTTGTCATTGTGCCTTGTATATATATCCACAAATGTAAGCGCAGATGTCAAGGCAAGCAATAATTTGGTAATATAATATATATACAAGTATATACATATATATGTAAATATAAGAAGACATATGTGTATGTATATAAGTATATTCATCCGATTTTCTTTTATATATCGGTTTTTTGGAATTTTCTGTTAACGTTTGGAAAAATATAAGTATATTTTACTTAAATTTTTAGTTCCTTTGTTTTTTTGCTTTATATTTTCCGTTAACGTTTCCTGTACCCGTTTTTTCAACTTGTTAAAACGGATTATCCTAGTTTTAACAAAATACATAATGAACAAACATCCATATATAATTAATAAAAAATGAAAACTGTGCACTTACTTTGTCTCGCCTCAAGGGGTTTTTGGGAATAATATATGTATGTATTTATTGTATGTTTTTTGATATATTTTAGGGTTTCGCGCCCGTTTGGGTCTTTTTGTTTTTTTGTTTCGCGCCCGTTTGTTTTTGTAGCACATATAATAAGTTTCGCCGTTTCTTTTTTTTATATGTATAATGTATATTTACGAACATATGTTCGGTCACTAAACTGCATTAATGTATTTATGCATATACATATACCTATGTATGTATGGATACATACATATACTACTTATTGCACTTCGCTTATGTTCACATTTGATTTTTTTTCAAATAAATCACCGCACCAATTTTTGGTTATTTTGTTTTTGTACAAATTGTTTTGTATATTTTTTGTTTATCTTTTTTTGTTCACTTTTTGGCACTGCACCTTTAAATGTTGTTCTTTATTGAAATATATATACATATACATATACGTATATTTTCTGTTTTGTTCACGTTTTGGCACCGCACTTTATTATTTTAATAGGTTTTTTTTTGTAAATAGCCCATAATGCCGTTCACTGGGGCTCGAATGACGATGATTAAATAGGTAAGCGCATACCACTGTAATGTTTTGATGTAGCACTTACACTCGCGGTTAATGTTATAAACGAAAAGTAGATCTCTTTGTGATACGAAATAAGTGGTAATTTATTTGTTTTTACAAAACTTTCTAATTTTAACACTTATTTAAATGCTGATAAAGATAGCAGTGTAGAATTGATGTCGAAGAAATTATGGTAGTTGACGGTTACAGGATCGCTGACGAAACGAATTGTAGCGCACTTGATCGTTGTCGTATCGATGTGTTAAAACGAATGAAATGAATTGGCGATCCAATCCCTTTTTTATTGTTGATTATGTGGTGACATCCTGTATAGTGTGGCCGTGAGTGTGAGTTGTGTTCCAAGGTATGGTGTGTTGTATTAGGGTGGGAGCGGTGTACTTGGAGGGGGAGTCATCTAATCTTAAGATTTAATGTTCCGTAAGCGACCCAGTGGCAGTGGCAATTCCCAAAAAACTATTATCTAGGCCATGTAAAATTCCTGGTTGGCGTTCGTCAGCTAGTTATCGACAATGACAGCAAATTACTAAATTTCACAGTGTGAACATTTTTAACACAAAACTCCGCAGAGCTACCCTTAATAGTTACTGATCTAACATTTTTCTTTACTTTGACTTTCGCCATACCATTGTAATGTTAGTGCAATATTTGGTCTTCTTAGACCTAACATGGCGGCTTTACTTTCACGTCCACTCTAACAGCGCTGATGCTATCACGCCGCTGCTGCCATCACTCTTATGCTGACATCACGTCGCTGCTGCTATCACATTCGCTGCTGTTTAAACCGTCATGGGGATGAGCTGCCGCTGCATCATATGCCAAAGGGACGTACAGATTTTCTAGAGAACAGTTTTATAATATACCTAAAACAACCATATCAGCAACAGTAGCAGTAAGACCAACAGCATCAGCAAAGGCAGCAGCAACAACAACAGCAAGGTACAGACAAACACACTAACACATGCATAAATTAAAAGTAAATTATAATTATATAATAAAAAGCAAAGAAGGACACATACTCACAAGTGCAAAAGCAGTGGTGCATGAAATAAAAACAGTACTGGATCAACAAATAAATTCAAGAATATATACATATATTACCTCCCAAACATGAAGAGGAAGTAAGAAGACAAATTTGTGAATTAGAAGGGCAAGGAATAATTAGGAAAAGTAACAGTAGATATAGCTCACCAATCTTAATAGTACCAAAGAATATAGATAATTCAGGAATTCAGAAATTCAGGCTAGTAGTTGATTATAAGAGATTAAATCAATTTACTGTAGACGATAAGTATCCTCTACCAAATATCGAAGGAATCTTGGATAAATTGGGCAAAGCACAGTTATTTAGCACGATAGATTTAGCCAAAGGTTACCACCAGATTTTAATGACAAAAAGGGACATCGAGAAAATAGCTTTTGTTACTCCAGCCGGACTATATGAATACGTTCGAATGCCTATCGGGTTGAAAAATGCCTCAGCTACCTTTCAAGGATTCATGTACGACATATTGAGAGAAGCCATAAATAAAATATGCGTCGTATATTTAAACGTCTTACTATTTTTTTCAACTTCATTAGTAGAGCATATAAACTCAGTGAGAAAATGTATTTTGAAATTACAAGAAAACAAATTAAAAATACAGGCAGATAAATGCAGTTTTCTTCAAATTTGTAGGACACATATAAACAAAAGAAGGCATCAAGCCTAATCCAGATAAAATTGTAGCAATTCCAAAACTACCAATACCAAAAACCGAGAAAAAATTAAAAGGGTTTTTAGTAGCAACATAATATTACAGAAAATTCATGAAAGATTATTCAAAAATAGCCTATCCCATGATCAAATATTTGAAAAAGGCAATAAAATAAATTCCAAAGACTTACAATATATTGAAAGCTATGAAAACTTACAAAGTATTAATTTCATCTCACGCAATTCTAAAATTCCCAGAGTATGATGAAGAATTCAGTAACACAACTGAGGCTAGTGACTATGCTATTGGAGCAGTACTTTCACAGCAAAGTCACCAGTGTGTTACATTTCAAAAACACTAAATAATCACTAGCAAAAATACTCTACTACATTGCAGGAATGCAATAGAATACGTAAATGGATTTTAGCTGTGGCTGATTTCTTGAGTCGAATTGAGAACCCACCAAAAGCAAAAGAAAGTAACGATATTGAATCAAACCTGGAATTGTCAGAAACAATTCATTCAACAGATAAAGAACTGCTTGAGCACTTCCCAATTAAAGAAGAAATTATAAATAAATACAAAATTATCGAATCGAATTATATTGACACATAACCCAAAAGCTCAGATAGAAAGACTTCATGGAAGAAAAATAATTGAAATAGACCCAATGGATGAAGAAGAAGAGAACAAAGAAACATCAAAAAAATTTATTAAAGGAACCGGAATAGTGAAAATATTTTCAGAAGTGCCTGAAGCAGATTATCATAAAATACAGAAATTAATGACTGAAAGGTTTGCTCAAGATAGAAGATAGTTTGTAAAATGCACAAAAAGAGCCTCAGAAATAGAAGAAGAAGAGGAATTACATAAACAAATATCACTGTACCATACAAAGGATTATATGCATAGTGGCATAAATAAAACCTATAATACATTAAACGATAAAATATATTATGCGAAAGTCAAGGAAGAAATAAAATTGATAATAAACAATTGCCAAAAATGTCAACAAATCAAATACGATATAAAACCAGTAAAACTAAAATTTCATTTAACTGAAACTCTAACCAATAAAATGAGATAATTTATATAGACATATTCCATTTCAACAAACAATCATTTGATTCAGCGATTGATAGATTAACCAAATTTGCAGCAGCTTACAGAATAACAGATAGAAACTGGAGAGCTAAAAAGACAGTAATTATGGAACATTTTGCAAAATTAGGTAAACCTAAGAAAATTATTATGGATAATGAATTTAAAGCAGCACAATTAATACAATATTTAAATGCCGAAAATATAGAAGTCCATCACATAAAACCCAATACTCATACAGGAATTGCAGATATTGAGAGACTACACTCAATCGTATTGGAAAAACTAACAGGAATTGATGCCCATAGTCTTTCAACAGAAATGAGAATGCAAATTATTATATGCAACTACAAGTATAACAATAGGTATCACCCAACTATTAAATGTTCTCCAAGGGACGTCAAAGTCCATTTGTCCATTCATATTACAAGATAGAATAAATATTGCAAAACAAAATACAATAGCCAAGTTAAATCAAAACAGATAAGAAACTCGATTAAAAACTACAAAAGAGTACGGCATAAAGATCAACCATAGTACCGAATTCATCCACAGCAAAATGTTCATCCGGCAAATATAAAAAGACCAATGAAATTGGCAAACATAGAAAACCCAATCGAGAAAGATGCTGATGCATTTAGCTTAAGAACATTTAATGGGGATAAACACTTAACTCAAACACACAAAAAATATTGTTTTATTACATGATTTTTGTTCTACCCTAGTGGGTATGGGGTTTTAAATAAATATACCCGTGGTAAGTGATGCCTGTCGTAAGAGGCGACTAAAATCCAACGGAGTATTATAATATCGAAAACTCCTACGTATAGAGACCTAAACCTAAACGATTATAAATTTAAATTTTTATATTTTACAGATGACGGGAATATTTATTATTTTTAACAATAATCCAACATCAACATTGGTTGCAACAGTTTTGCAAATTACAAAAATAATAAAAGAAGCGGGTATACAGTAAGTAATAAGTACAGGTATACACATTAAAATCCGTACAAAATTACAGTAATAGTTGACCATATTAAAGAAAATATTGGACAGCTAAATATTGAAAACAAAGAAATTTTGTACAATGAAATAGAAAATAGAACAGCATTATATCTTTAACAACGTATGTCAAAGAAAAAAAGAAAAGAGGCTTAATAAATACTGGGGGAACAGCCTATAAATGGATGTTTGGAGTTATGGATGATGATGACAGGCAATACATTGTGAACCATTTGAAAATTATTGACGAAAATGTCCATAATGCTATTGTAAACTTATATAAACAAATATTAATTAACGAAAATTTCACTAGATCATTAAACATATTAAAAGATACTATAGAATCAGATAGGAAACAAATAAAAGAAACTCTAAACAAAATAAACAACGATGAAAATATAAGTGAAAGAAAGTTTTTGTTTAATGAACAAACTAAAGTTCATAGAAAATAAAGTTCAGAAAATGCAAGACAATATAGCGGCAGCTAAATACAATGTGGTACATCCAAGTATGTTAACTAAGGAAGAAAAAATACGAAATTGATTTTTATAAATTAAAATTGGCAAAGGTAGGAGTAGTAGTATACAAAAATTAAGGAATAATATTCGCAATTCAGATACCAAATACCTTCTTTCAAATGAAAATTCAATTAATAACTCAATTGCCAAAACAAAAAAATAAATTACAGATTAGTGAAAAAGAAAAATTCGTTACCAAGATTGGCGAAAGCTATTTTGGTTACAAAAAAATAAAGCATTTAAAAATTTAAATTGAGTAAAAGCTGTATATTTTCAAATACTTGTGAATTTATATATTGTACAGTAACAAAACAACAATACAAGAGGTAAGCGATGATACAATATTAATAAGAAATGCTAATAACGATAAAATGAAACAGAACTGCGATGATAAAAAATAGAGTTCTTACAGTAACGCTGCGGGAGTTGCGTCATCAGATGACTTCACCACCCCCAAGAGAAAGAAGTATTTTTTTAAATAAGCCCCCAATGTAACAAACAACATACATAGGTATGTGGATATTATAAGTTATTAATATGTATCATACCAACTTGTATATGCACTATACATTGTAATATGCTATTGCAATAGCATAATGAAATCAGCACAACGGCTTCAAGTAAGTTAAGCAAAATGTTATTTTATATGAGTCGAAAAATCAATAATAAACTAGACGGTAAGTCGCACAGTACAGTACTTTTCCGTAGTTTTTTTATTCACGCAAAATGAAACTACGTATAAACAAGAATCAAATAAGTAATTCACACATCCGCCGAGCTTACCATTGACGCAGAAGGCACTTGTTCAACAAACCCCGAAAGAGCTGCTCGCTAGGTACGAGCAACTGAACGCGCTGGAGAAGGTGTCTCAAGCGCAAACACGCTCTGTAGCAGCGACGACCCAAACGGACGAATAAAGCGTTCTCGCTAGGGTACATCCCACAACTCCATGGATCAATATCTCCGTAACGGCCGCAAGTTGACCGATGTGGCACTGGACCGAATCGATCCGTGGGCTAAACGCACACTACTACGGCCGTTTGTCTGCACACGATTTCCCACCTCCGTCACTGGACACACACACAACACAGTAATATACTGGGACCGTGCGAGGAGTCCACCAACAAGAACAACAAAAATAACCACGTTGCGTAAAGTACACTAAAAAGGTACAGTACACTAAAAACACACTATGTGTACTAACAGTTACCCACGCGGCAAACACCTCCAAAAATATGCACAAAACGCTCAAAAATTTGCACCGCGAAAATAACATGCGGTCTATAACGCGAGCAACAACAGTGCTTTACGCCGATCGCACCAACAAAACGCACTACTGCTATAAACACGCGCCAGAGCCAAACTCTGGAGACCTTTTTTCCTGCGAGGAAGTTGTGTGTGGTCAAAAGTCGTCGGAGAAGAGGGCAGTGAGCTTCTTTACATACGGGGCAAAGCTTGAGGGAAGGCTGGTGGAAAGGTATATTGTCAGGACCTCTATCAACTTCAGTTTCGAAATTCCTAACGATGGCAGTGTTTTTCAAGCCGAGATTGCGGCCATTAAGGTAGCAGTAGATTTACTGCTTTGGATTGTATCCTCCTTCATCTATCCTTTGGCTATACTAACCTTGAGCTCACTAACCGTGCGCTCAGGGCTGGATAAGAAATGCCTAAGCTCGTTATCAATAGCATCGAGTCACTTTGTGATAAGACTAATATGCCATAAGGTTTACAATCTTACCGGACGCCATCTGCCGAAGACGAGGTGCAAACATTTCAGCACATCCTTTTTGATTGTCCTGCGCTTGCGAGATTAAGACTCAAACACTTAGGAGCTGACACTTTCAGATATGCCAACGAACTGGTGGGAATAAAAATAAAATGCCTGAGCAAATTTGTATCGGCCACAAGACGTTTTGCTGACTTATCAGTTCGAAAGGACTGCTTTCAGTAGTCCAAGTGCGATCTCTGGATCAGTCATAAAACCTTACCTACCTTAACCTTCGTTTGCAAGCTTACAATATCCTACTCGGGCAAGACTTGAAGCTAAACTACCATCAAGCGCGTTCGATAAATCGACCCAAAACGGGATGGCTACCTATCTCGAAAGAAATTTTTTTCACCGATGAAGCTCACTTTTGGTTGAATGGGTACGTTATTAAACCAAATTGCCGCAATTGGAGTAATGGATGCAATTGGAGTAATGTTAATACACAAGCCCTTGTTTAGACCACGTTACATTCTTGAAAACTGTTCACTGTTTGGTGTGCAGACGGAATCAGTAGTCCATACGAGTATTTCTTCAAAACTGAAGCCAGCCATAATGTCAATGGGGAACGCTATAGAGCCGCGATTAATGACTTTTTCGAGCCTGAATAGGAGAATGTATATGTAGACGACCATTGGTTCCACAGCCATCGAAACTATCAATTTATTGAAGGAAACTTTTGGTGAAGGCATTATCACCGCTGGACTAATTTTTGTGGGGTTATGTGAGGTCGCTTGTCTACGCAAATAAAACCGAGAAAATTGGCTATCCCGGCTGAAATTTTTTCGAGTCATCCGCGGCGGTTCCTTACTCATTTAAAAACATATTGGCAAACCTTTATCTTCATAATAAAGCTTAATTTTTGGTCATAATAATATATTATATGTTATGCGTTTTATTTCTTTTTGAAAACCACAAATATCTTTGAATCGATAGTGCCGAGGTAATACAAAACCTGAGACATAAACAAACACATGTATATATACTTTTAGTTAGATAAGTTAGATTTAAAAATTGTAAACTAATTTCTCACTCAATGCAAGTAGTTATCTTCCCTAGTGGTAAGAATTTATAGAAAATACATTAAGTTAATTCGGATTCAGAGCTCAGTCAGGATAAGCCCTGTCATTAATAAAAACACAGACAGCACAATTAAGACCTGTTATACATACGGACAATAAAAAAACCAGTTAAAAATACAGTACAAATACACAATATATTCACGCATTTGAAATTAATCACATAAGTAAGAAATTAAACCAGAATATTAACTGTATCCAAAGAGATATTCAGCGGCTGAGAATCAAGGCATAGCAAAGTCAGTTCTTTGGAGAATACACACCAGTTAAAAATAAACGAGAAGTGTTGAGGACAAATTCAAGATAGGATTCTTGAGAACCAAGCGAATTCATCCGAAAATGACATACAAATGATCAACACTATATCTCTAGGGGTCGTAAAGTCTCTACTTTTAAAAGGAGAAATGAATGACTCAAAAAAAAAGACAATCTAAGTTTTGAGGCACCAGTCAATAGCGACAAATAAGATATTGGAAACGCTATTCCTTGACATTCGTAATCTGTATGCAACAAAAATTTCAAATTGTTTCAATGACAAAATTGATTAAATATACCAATATATTCGGCTGGAGATCATCTGATAAAGCTTCTGGGAAAATAACAACAACGGTAACAAATCTAGAAACAAAAGTTCACGAAAAAAAAGATCAGGAAGTGATCGTATACAACACACATGAGAAAATGGACGCCAAGATACAAACGCAAATAAAACAAAGTCGATTGTCAATGATATACCAGAAAGCTTTAGAAGATACACAAATTCAAACCGAGCAACGAGAAGTGCAACAACTCAATTTAAGTAAACACAGAAATGAATCACAAGAACAAGAATCGCCTCGTATTTTGGAGACACAAACAACATTTAGGAAGAAAATTACTACTGATGAGCTGAAGTTAAAAATATTGAGGCTGAGATTTAAAACTAACAAAAGAATTTGGGTAGTTCTGAATAAAAGGCAAATAAAGTGGCTTAGTTTAAAGATGTTAATTTGGCTCTTTTCTTCCCCGACAGGCTCACATATTGAAGAATTGTGAGAAACAGATGTTAAAGTGGAAGTGATTAAAGATGAGGACGAAGAAGAAGTAATCGAACACATTTTAAAAGATGAAGCATATGAGGAGAAAAACAAAGTTCAAAAAAAATTTCCGCAAAAGAAATAGAAGGTTGCTTAGAAAATGACGACCGACAAATAGATGTATACATATGTAATCATATATTGGTTCTAAACATACATTTAGGCAATTGCTTATAAATGTGTACACTTGAATACAACTCTGCCAGCCACGGCTAACCACTTCCCCCAGAAATATCAACACAATTACAAATTTTTCAATCACTAACACCAACGGGGACATTTTTGTTTTAACCAATTTCGAACTTGGCATCTCATTTGTTGATCTTATTGAATGAGCGCGAATGAAAAAACATATTTGTCATTAGTTCCAATAGAATGATCCTCAAAGGGAAATTAAATACAAGTAAAAAATGCCAAAAGAAAAATTAATTTGGGTTTTTAATGGGCAAAGGTAAGTCGACAAAACTTTATGTAATTTTATAAATTTGTATTTATCGATTTTTACTTCTTTTCAGCGTAACTATCAAACTAACAACATAAAAAGTATAGTGTGGGTAGATTCAGTAAGTATATTTCAAATAACTCAAAGAAGAAATATTTTTTTATAAACTTTTATTTTATTTCCAGGCACATGTTCCAATAAAAATGTGGCTCCTGCCAAGATCCCTTAATGATGGCTTGACATTGTAAAAATTTAGAGTAAATTGTAATGTCATGTCTACGCGACCAATCGCTGAAACGCCTAGTAATTTCGAAGATGGAACTTTAACAAAAGCAAGAATTTACCTATTTGTACTTTCATTTGTTGTGCACTATACATTTCGATTGATATTTGAAGGAAATAAATTTTTTGCTGGGCTTTAAATAGGAACCCATACCCCCAAACAATATCAAAACGGCTCTTCTAGCGTTAAGTGTGCCCGAAGGGGCGTCAATCTTACTTGTACCTACATACCCACCCCCAAACAATTTATATCAAGCCTTGGCGTAATATGATCAGTAAATAATGTTTATTACATTTTTAAGCGAATTTGTTTAAAATTTATTTTTATATAACATTTAATATATTATATATTTTGTTTCGGAAATATAGCTAATAAAGTTAATATTCAGTTTAGGTTAACTTTAGGTTTATAATTAACAGTAAAAGTATGTCAACTACAAGTAAAATATGTGTAATAAATAAAAAATTTCAAATTTAAAAAGTTTGTTTGAAATTTTTATACTTAGGTGTTCGAAAATGCGACCCTGCGCCAGCTGGAGATTTGGAAAATTAGAGCAGTTCAGCTACATATTTCTTGTATGAGACTGCTGAAGCGATGCATGATCACACGCATACGTACGTTTGAGGAAAAAGTGGTGAGAATTGTCACGCCGCCTATGACACGTTCACTAGTTTTGAGGGTTTAAAAACCTAGTGTTACACTATATTTTTAACCACTATTAGCTGGCAGGAAATTTCATATATTACACAATATATATAGGAACACATACATGCACATGCGTTGAGTTGTATGTATACTCAAGATGGGAAACTAGTTTAGGAGGCCGAAATTCGAGTATTTTTTGTGTTTTTTTTAACTGAGAAATAATTCTTAGAATTCGTTTAAACTTGCAGGGTAGTTTATTCCTATTTTGAACTACACTTTTAAATCTTTCGATGCCATTTTCGCCGGAAGTGGTGGAGTTCATTAACGACCGCCAACAGAGTTAACCGCTTGCGGGACACCTGGAGGTCGCAGTTTTGATGTGAAACCATAAATTTTTTTTTCTTTCATTAATAACATATTTTCTAAGAATATGAACCAAAAGAGTTGAAAATAAATGTTTTGGAGGTGTTTGAACAAAATGTTATGTTTTTATATAATTTTTTCACTTTTTTCACAAAAAAAAAATATACTTTACCTAATTATATCATTCCAGAGTTTGATTAATATTTTTAGGACTTGAATAAAGGTTACTCACACAAATTTTCAGGTCGATTCGTCAATAACTTTTCGAGCTAGGAATCCCGTAAGTTGAAAAAAAGTCGTTTTGAAAAAAATCGCTTCGGCACTGAATCGAGCTTTGTTTACCTTAGTGCTCATATCATCGGAACTAATTGGAATTTCGTTTTGAAACTCAAGCAACATATTCTTGAATAGTTGTATTGTACAAACAATTTATGCAATAAAAAAATCGATTTATTTGAATCATCTAAACTGGTTTCCTCCCTTAAATATACATTGGGTTGTTATGTCTCGTGACAATATACAAACAAACATACACATATACATACCCTTTTAACTCTTTTAGCCACAGCTTTAATATGATGACTTTAGAAATTAATATATAGTTTAATTATGGTTCCATTATAAAGAAAACAAATATTTTACAAAAATACCACATAAGTCTTTCAAGGAATAAGGTGGCTAGTTACTAACCGCTGTGACGGTAGGCATAAAAAGTAATCAAAAAAAATTGTATAAGATGGTACATAAGAAGCACGTTACATATGCATTGTTTACAGCAAGAATATATTTAGTTCATTCATGAAAATCTAAAAAGCATACAAGCTGCATTGCCATTCAGTACGTGCTGAACTATTTTAGTGCTGCATTAAGAATATCTTCGTGAAGTAGTTCGCTTCAGCTGATGCACATTGGCTTGTGGCGTTTTATCAAAACTGACAGTGGAGAAGACGATCCAAAGCTATTGAGCGAACGCTTAGAGCTCTGATTGCTTTTCTTTGCCTGAGCTGGTGCTAAGTTGCCTTGGTCCACACTTCTGTGAAAATCTTTTGTGTCTAATTTATCCCATGATATAATAAGAGGAAGTTTATGATAGCACAGTCCAGAAAATGGAAAAAAATCGATACCACAATGATGAGACATTCTGTCGATGGCATAAGTACTTTTCTGCTAGTCGAATTAGTCAACATAATTCATACAACTGTATCACAGCCTCGGGACAAGCTACTTCAGTCGTGTGTCCATTGCGTTCTCTTCGAGTAACAATATCCATCTTCGTTATCAAGCCCTGACTGCTCTGGGTGTAGAATATTCTGCATTTCTCTTTTATTCAATACATGCAGCATTCTAAAAAAGTCACGAAATTAATAAAATAAAACCTACTATAGCCACGGTGGCTAGTAAACTAACCACTTTACTTTTTACGTTATTTATAAAACAATATAAATGATAAAGTTTATTTTTTTATCATAAATCAACTAATGTAATGCTAAACAACAGATAAATACTAAAATCGTAATATAATAAACATTCTTATCTTTATTATTAAATTTTAAATTACTCCATTTAAAAAACCGCAATGCACTACTTTTTCAACAATTAGAATAAAACTAACTGTCACGCCTGAGCGTGTAAATTTCGCAACAAATATGTTGTTGAAAAAGTAACCACCAAACCTGAATGAGTTAAAGCCAAACTATAATTTGCTATGCTGTCGTATATTACTGTCAAAAAGTTAACGAAAAGCCTGTCAAATGCATAAGGAACAGATAGTAGACTTTGAGACTCACATGCAGTAGAGAAAAGTGCCAAACAATAAACAATTTGTGTTTCACATTGTTTTTTGCAATACCGAAATTTACAGAAAATTAAAATATTTAGAAACAATTAAATTGCTTACTTCTGTTTAAGACGGAATATACACAATAACAGAACTTTGTGAAATTAAAAAATAGATTAAAATCACATTCAGTAAGAGAAATAAACAGAAAGAGGAAGACGGTAGGTTTTTTTGTCGTCGTCTTTCATTTGCAAACTCAAAAAAATTTATTGGTTGAAAAAAAGCGATAACAGCTGATTCCGAACGTAAGGTGCGACCAGTTTCGCATTTTGCTTAAGCAAGTGACGTTTGACAAATTTTAACGAAACTTCATGCAAAGTACATAATAGTTGCCGAATACAATTATGTGTATTCGGATTGTTGCTTACGCTGACTTAAGCTTGCTTATTTACATTATAGTTGGCCCTTTAGTTAGAAAAATTAGATTTAAAAATTGTATATAAAGACGTAAAAAAACATATATATAAAATCAAAAAGAAATAATTCTCACTCAATGCAAGTCTTTACTTTCTCCTACCATTTGAAGAAACTACATGGAGTTATTCATCACATGTCGACCAAGAATTTTAAGTGATTAGATTATATTTTAGTTACTCCCTAATCTAGACTCTCCTCACTGCCATTGGAGGATTTAAAACAGCTGTTTAAGACATTAAAAAATTCTCATTGTTTAATATTTATTAAAAGAAAACAATGTAATGACGTATTTTGTTCTAAAAGTCGTCTTATTTTTAATGTTTTCCATTTAATGGAAATAATGGACGGATTATTTGATTTGGAAAGTCGATTGCCAGGTGAATTCAGATGTATTTCTTTAAATTTTTTTGGTTTGGAGATTACCCAAAAACTACCGGTGTCAGAGACTGCGATTCCTGTGCGGACCGTAGCAGCGCTCTTTTAACCCACGGATCGATTCGGTACAGCGCCGCATCGGTTGACTCAGGACCGTAACATATCTGCGTCTGTTCATCAAGTTACGTGCGGCTGTTAACATTACGGTCCGGTTAATGCTACAGATGCCCTACGTCTTTACTAACACCGTGGTAAGGTCTCAAGCTTGCCGCCATTGATAATTGACTCCAATTTTCGGTTGAGCATGCTTCCAATTAACGCTGATCTGGCACTGAACGTAGGCACCCATAAGGGCCTACGTCAACCCTTGCGTGACCTCGCTGCAATGCAAAAATTATCACGGGATCAACACAGCGATTGCACATAGCGAGCGGCGATAGCTGCTCTGAGGGAGATCCAATCACACACGAACCACAAAACGAACATGAAAACGGAAACGAGCACTCGGCCTTAAGGAGAAGTTCAAGAATAATGAGGACGCCTCCACAGCTACATACTAGAGGAAATATATCAGCTTTCTACCAACTTTGCGAACATATAGGAAGCTTCTTAGCCATGCTTGAGGATGGAAAAAGACGATCTATCCAACAATCCATGAGAGACCAATAGAAAGCTCGAGAATGACAAGGAAACCTCGAACAGAAAAAGGGGCCCAATGTTGTCAAAAAGTCAATAGCGCAAATACCTAACAACAGAACAACCTTCGAAATTTAGAAGTTCAAGAATCTGAATGGGTACTGGTCAGCAGCAAAAGTAAAACTAGAAAAAGTATCGCTAAGCCTAAAAACACAGAACCAAAGACCCCAAAACGCAAGGCGAAGCGCTCGGAAGCTTTGGTGATTTCAAGAGCAAGCGACGAATCTTATGCAGATATGTAAAAAAAAATTATATTGGACCCCACATTACAAGACCTCGACGACAACTTAAGCAAGGCAGGGAGAACAGTGAAGCATGAACTGTTGCTTAAACTTTAATCCAAGCCGAAATAGTCATCCAATAAACTTAGAGAGCGCACTTTGAGGTCCTAAAAGATATGGCAGTAGTCAGAGTCCTAGGGCACGCGGTCACACTAGAGATAAAAAATTTGGACGAGGCAACGTCAGCCGAAGAATTTCGCAAAGCAATAAACGAGAAACTGTCTGATGAGGACGATATAGAAAGCTGTGCCATTCAATCTATGCTTCGCCCCGTAACAGTTTCGAAAAAACTCCTTATTGCAAATAAAATAAGTTGGACACTACGCAACAGTAAAAGCACTAGAGATCTACACTGGATCTTGTTTTCGATGCGGAGAGAAAGGGCACAAAAGTTTTTAATCTTATAACTTGCAAGTATCAAAGGAAAATTCAGGTTGGTTGAAAAGTTTCTGAGTTCGAAATGAAGATATAGTGTTTTTGGTACAAAATATATTTTTTTATTCAATATAATCTCCTTTAACTTCAATACACTTATTCTAACGATCCTTCAATAATTTTATGACATCCCTATAATGACTTTCCGAAAACTTTGCAAAATATCCGTATAGTGGTGTAATAACTTCTTATTCCGAAATACGCTTTCCACGAAGGAATTGTTTCAGGTTTTTGAAGAGGTAGTAGTCGCTGGGAGTCAAATCTTAATGCTCAAGCAATTCGAACTTTAATTCGTTAAATTTAGTCATTGTTAAAAAAACCTTTGTGAGCAGGTGCTTTGTCTTGATGAAAAATTATTTTTTTTTGTGCTGCAAACCAGGTCTTTTCTCACGAAATTTCAATCCAGCTGATCCAGAAGTCTGCAAAAATATTCAGAGTTGATTGTGTTACATTTCTGCTTAAAACGCTCCAAATTATGCTGAGAAATTTGTTTTCGATCCAGTTTTTGTTGAATTTTTAACGAATATAAGTATGTAATTCTCCATGTAAAATATGAAGTACTCGTTCGTCTGCGATGCCTATGGCATTAGCAATTTCACTCTTAGTTAAACTTGGATCTTCACTAACTGTTGGGCATTATACGGTCATATGTTCTAATATACTTTTTCTAATTCTTGTTCTCTATTTATTTGCCTAAAATATTCAAGGGCAAGCATTATAATCATTGTGGAGTTACGTCAATTTTGAACATAAACGTAACACATGTATGAATGATATTTATTTGCTTGCTTGCGCTTGCTTTGTACATTTATGCTGCCGCTATGTTTTCGTCCACGCAATTAAATGAATAGCCTCTTGCAATGCTGCGTTCCCATTTTTTATATTTCTCTTTTTCTTAATAACAATAATATATTTTATACGAAGGAGCAATAGCGTAAAATATGTACTTGGGTTATTCTCCTTTTATGAACTGTTAAAGGTATACAACTTACATACTTATGTATATATGCATTAATACAAAACGAAACTATGTATTTAACGGTATTAAAATATTACTTAGAATATTATTTAAGGAGAAGAGTTTTGCAAATAAAGTTATATAAATAGCTGACCACAAATATCATTACTCGGCCCTTTGTATTTTATCGCTGTTACAACTTCGCCTAAACTTTCCGCTTTTTCGATATTTGCGCGGTTACAAAAAAAGCTTTGTAGCTCTACATTTTTTGGCGCCCACTGTGGGGCACGAGTGAGTTTTTTGTTCTTTCGCACATCATTTCGGAGTGTGGTCAGTATTAGACTGCACTGTTGGACATTATCGTCATTGGAAATTACCGACATTGGACTTTGTCACCACTAAACTTAGTCACCGTTGGAAATATTAGGTCAAGTAAAAAGTTCGTTCGGTTTTTATCTAAGAGATGGCGTTATGGTCCATAGTACTAGTGTTACGTATCGCATCATGTTATACTATAAGGCGCTGAAAACGTGTTTATTCGCGCTAAAAGTTTGTCTTTGACAGTTTTTCGATTGATTTACTCAGTTCGTTGTGAGCGCTCGTCAAAGATGGACACCAACAAAGAGAAAATACCCTATATTTTACAATTTTTCTTCGATCAAAGCGAAAAAGCAGCCAAAGTGGCTGAAAACATTAATTTAGTTTATGGGCCCGATACTGTAAACGAACGTGTAGCACAAAAGTGATTTGCTAGGTTCCGTTCCGGTAATTTCGATGTCAAAGATGCACCACGCGTCGGGAGGCCTGTCGTCGAAAATTGCGATAAAATCATGGAAATAGTGGAAACAGACCGTCACGTAAGCAGTTATTTAATTGCCGAGGAACTAAAGATAAGCCAGAAAACCGTTTGGAACCATTTGCATAACCTTGGATTCAAAAAGGACCTCGATGTTTGGGTGTCACATGAACTAACGCAAAAAACATGATGGACCGAATTTCCATCTGCAAATCGCTGCAGAAGCGCAACCCGTTTCTGAAGCGGATTGTGACTTGCGATGAAAAATGGGTCACTTATGACAACATCGAGCGCAAACGGTCGTGGTCAAATCTCGGAGAAGCGGCCCAGATGGTGGCCAAGACCTGATTGACGGCCAGGAAAGTTTTGCTGTGTGTTTGGTGGGATGGGCAAGGAATCATCTACTGCGAGCTGCTCCCCTATGGCCAAACGCTCAATTCGGCTCTCTACTGCCAACAACTGGACCGCTTGAAGGCAGCACTCATCCAGAAGAGGCCATCTTTGATCAACAGAGGCCGAATTGTGTTCCATCAGGACAACGCCAGGCCACACACGTCTTTGGTGACTCGCCCGAAGCTCCTGGAGCTCGGATGGGAGGTTCTAACCACCACCTTATAGTCCGGACCTGGCACCAAGTGATTACCATCTTTTTCTGTCCATGGCGAACGCGCTTAATGGTGAGAATTTGGCCTCAAGAGAGGCCTGTGAAAATTGGCTCTCCACGTTTTTTGGCAATAGGGACGCGGTCTTCTACGAGAGGGGTATAATGAAGTTGGCATCTCATTGGCAACAAGTTTACGAACAAAACGGCGCATATTTGACTTAAATCGGACAAATGTACACAAAGTTATCATCTTTTGAAAAATCAATGAAAAACCGAACGAACTTTTTACTTTAGTATATTTACCATTGGAGTCACCAGCACTGCTCGCACACAGCACAACACACGGGGTTGCCACCGCTAAGTCTCGTCGTTACCACTACCTGCAGCTCTTATTTGCATGTTCGTTGCATACCCATACATAAGTATAACTTGGTTTGCTACATTTTTTGCGGTAAAATTAACTAATCACTTATTGCTTAACTACTCACAAGAAGTAAAATTATTGTTATTTAAAATAATTTGAAACCACTATAAAGCACATATAAGATC